AGTTGCTGTACCTACTTAAAGAGTGTTAGCTGAAGTTGATCTTGTGTTGGAAAAAAGGTGTAAGCAATATGAATAAAAGCTGACCATTGTAAGTCCCCACCCCCATTGTAATATGTTTTTTTTTCAACCTTGTAACTACCACTTGGCCTTTTAAGCCTTGTTCACATGGTCATACTACAGCGTACCCCTGTGCGAACGCCGTGTCTACCCCCATGAGGATGCAGAGGCGTTCCATGCATCCCCAGGCAGGCAGCTCTATTCATGTCAATCGGGACACAGCAGCTGTACAGACATAGACACTGCTCCCAATTTAACATCCATGAGGACGTGGCACCGATGCTGGCAGTGTACACCCTTTTGAACAAGGTCTTCCAGGAATTGGAAAAATAATGGATCTACGGCGTGGCATGATGAACTGGTTATAAAGAAAGAAAAACGGATGCTTCTCAACCATCCCAACAAGTTTGATGTGTAGGATGGCCTCAGCCGCAACCCTGGCCATGGCCTCTGATAGGATTTGCAACCCACCCAGGGCTTGGTCACAGAAGTGGTGCCACCTCTGTGACCAAGCCCCTGGTGGGCGGGCTGAAACGCATCAGAAGGCGTGGCCAGGGTAGTGGCTGAGGCCATCCTACACATCAGACTTGTTGGGCAGGTTGAGCAGCATCCATTTTTCTTACTGGATTGGAACTACTGCAGGCATCTTGGGATGCTGCTACCCTCTTCCATATATACTGGCAGGGTAACTTTCCCTTACTATCCGGCTTGGAGCGGCACCACAAGCTAACTTTGCACAACTGGTTATAAAGCTATGTTATGCTGGAGACAAACTTCTGTATGCTAGTGACAAACTGCATTATATACGTATACTTTATGCATTTTGCCTATAGTTACACTTTAAATGGTAACCAACAGACATTTAGACATTTGGGTTGCAATATTAATAAGGGCATAATGGCAGTAGGTTCTATGGAAATCATATGTTGATTATATATATGCAAAGAACTACACAGAAAATACTGTGTGATTCTAAATCAATGGCATAGCAACAACTGTGACCCCAAAAGAAAAAGGTTGAGCACCTCAGTACTAGAATATAGTAAGCCAGATTAAATAGCTTCTCTCCAATTCAACTATTTGCCCTAAAGTGAACAGTCCTTCAATCTCTGCAATTTATTACATTTTCTTGAAACACAACTATACCTTTCTGACAATTTCACATTTCATGCAATCCATTGAAAACATTTAAACTGGACTTCTATACTTTGTATTACATTATTATTTTCTTATACTTAGAAAGGCCTTTTAAGTATTCTTTTTGGTTAATGAGAAATGTTGCTTGTTGCTATAAGGAAGTGTATTTATAGAAGCTATGTGTATAAAATGTACCCGCTCTTGTGCATATAATCCTAGCAGCCTTATGATTCAATAGACACAGCTGTAAACCTTGACATGTCAACTCTTCATCCAGCTTGGCATGCAGCAATTACTGATATACAGTAGATGTGAAATCACACATAATATTTAATTGTACTGCTTCGAAATATCACATTTTGTCAGAAAGGAGGTGTTTAGTGTTAGTTTCCTTCACTACAACCAAAAAATTCCCTATTTTCCTTCATGTACATCCTAAATTGTCTTATTTCTGCCTGTAAATTATATATGTTAGGTAAAAATGCCCAATGGGGTTGACAAGTAATTTCTGATATCGATATGCAGAGATACATGCCATAATGGCTTTTACTGCTTGGAAGAACTTAGTTGATTTAGTAAAGGAGTATAAAAAAATCACTTTGCAGATGTGTATTTGTTGGCATTAATCATGTGCAAGCAAAAATTCCATGGGGATGATTTGCTAAAATGGGAGTGTGCAAAATCTGGTGCAGCTCTGCATAGAATGCAATCAGCTTCCAGGTTTTTTTTTTTCCCCAGCAATGACAGATTCTCCCATCACAACAATGCCCCCCGCCGCCCCAGCAATGACAGATACTCCCATCAGCAACAGTACACCCCCCCCCCCCCCCCCAGCAATGGCAGATTTCCCATTATCAGCAATAGACCATGATATCACCATGAAAACACAACCGCTGAGCGGCATTACATCCCTCAGCAGTCAACATCAATAGACCCTCTGGCATGCCCAAGCACTCCTTGCTGGCACACATTGGGTTTGATTTACTAAAATGGGAGTTTTCAAAATATGGTGCAGCTCTGCATAGAATCCAATCAGCTTTCAGGGTTTTTTTTTTCAGTAATGACAGATACTCCCATCAGCACAGATGACAGATCCCCATCAGCAACAATAGACACCACCATAACACGAGTGACCACTCAGCAGTCAGCATCAGATAGACCCATCACGCCTAACAATCCTTGCTGTCACGCATAACACTAAACTGAGCGAACTAGTTAGCTTCAGGTTTTTTTTCCCCAGCATCAATAGACCTCCTGGCAGCAACAAGCCCCCCCCTTTGTCCCACCATTGGATCTCCCATTACAAAATGGGAGAAACCCCACCTTCCAGGTTTTTTTCCCCAATGAACAGATCTCCCATCAGCAACAGTAGACCCCCCCCTCCCCAACTAGGATGGCAGATCTCCCATCAGCAACAATAGATACCACCATAACACAACCCCTCAGTGACAATAAATTCCCCAGCTTCCAGGTTTTTTTTTGTCAAAGATTATTTGAACAAACTGAAGATGGAAGTTGATTGGTTTCTATGCAGAGCTGCACCAGATTTTGCACTCTCCAGTTTTAGTAAATCAATCCCAATTTCCTTTTCACATGATTGGATATCCATAGTGAACACAGCTTCACCTTATTTACTAAGCTAAGTGGACATTCAAGTGGACACTTAGTTGAAACATTCATTCTTCTAAGTGAAGATTCTCTACTCCATTGTGTAACTCGGTTTTTATGAACACTGCTGCAAATGCTCCTTCTAAGCAACTCCCTTGGCTATTGGAGGAGCACTGACGTAAATAGAATGGCTTTAATATTGCCCTTATTAATTAGATTAGAGAGCCTGATCATTGTACATGTACTACTCTGCAATCTTCCACGAGGGCTTCCTCAGGTAATACGTAGTTTTGGAAGATATTTTCTACATACAGCTGGTATCAGGTAACTCACCTCAAGAAACCCAAGGGGAGCAATTATTTTGATAGTTCTCAATCATACAATACTTTGTCTAAGATATAAAAGAGCATACTACAATGATGATTCATAGGGACTGATATACTAAAGGGCCTTTAGTAAAGGCAAATAGTCTGTTCAGTAGAAGAGAATTCTGCCCTAGCTTTGTGACGTCCATCACCCAGTCATGTGCAAAACAAAAATACTGTTTGTTTGGTTTTTTTATACTGGTGATAAAACATAGGAACAGAGGTAGTGCTAGGTTTTATGTTGTGCTCAAGATATATGGAAGGCTATCCTTAAATGTTTAATGATAATTCAACACAATGAGCCAACTTATTCATTTGTTACAGCATTCAGTGATAGAAAAGAATAGAGAAGGTGTAGCCAGTACTCATTAGAATTGGTTCTTGATGTCAAGTGCCTCTTTACAAAAACTTAAAGTAGAATATCATGCAAAACCTGACAACTTTTAAAAATGATCCCCCCCCCTAATAACACTTATTCTGACTTCCCTGTGTAAGCAGTGGTGTATTTATTTTTCGTGCTGCCCTAGGCAATACAAACATTGGCCCCCACCCCCCCACAGAGAGACCCTGACACCAACCAACACCCCCCCTCCCCCACGAAGAGAGCCTGACATTGACCAACGACACCCCAGCCCCCACCAGAGAGAGCCTTCCACTACCCCCCCCCTCTGGAAATCCCCGGAACAAGAGTCAGGCTCTGCATACACCATCAAGCAGCCCACAGCCTCTGATCAGATCCCACCTGGTCCCTATGCTGCGTGTGTCCCTTCTTCCATCCCTTCTTCTTTCGGGGGGCAGCTCTGCCCCTCTGTAAAATGTTGCTGCCCCCCTGAAAAATGTTGCAGCTCCCCTGAAAAATGCCGCCCTAGGCAAATGCCTTGTTTGCCTTGTGGTAAATACACCCCTGTGGGTAAGAAGGATCTGCACATACTTACCTATTTTCAGACCGTTGCAATCTGGTCACGTCATCTCCTCTGTGCCAGCCAGCTCTGGCTGAATGGGAGAGGAGAGAACACGCCTAAAATGACTAGTAATGCCAGGGAACATGACGTCCTCCATGGGCTTCAATGGCCCATACATTATTGGCACTCCCTCCTCTCCCCTGCAGCAACACTGACAAGAGCAGCCTGAACATAATTATATCTTTCTTACACAGGTTAGGTAGCATAGGTTAGTTAGGAGTTTTAGCTTTAGTTAGCTTGAAGCTGGAATTCCACTTAAAATAGTAAGAAGGGTATAGACAGGGGCGGGCTGACCATTTGAAAACTCTGGCACTGCCCGAGGGCCCGGGGTCAGTAGGGGGCCCCATGAGATGCCCCTGGTACCTTTTTCATAGACTTTTTTGAGTTTGGGCAAGGACACAGGGTCCCCATGATCCCCTATTGCCCGGGGGCCCATGAGTTGTCAGTCCACCCCTGGTAGGGGGCCCCATGAGATGCCCCTGGTACCTTTTTCATAGGCTTTTTTGAGTTTGGGCAAGGACACAGGGGCCCCATGATCCCCTATTGCCCAGGGGGCCCATGAGTTGTCAGTCCGCCCTGGGTATAGACCAGTTTGTATGGTAATTTTCCTTGCACATAACTGGGTATTCTTTGCAGAATTTATTTTTCACCGCATTTACTAAGCTATGGGTAAATGAATTGCAAATGGAGGAATTGCTTGCAAAGTGAACAGCGTATTTGCCTTTAATAAATCAGCCCCTGTGCGCCATGTTTCTGCTTACAAAAGTTAATAAATACACACAAACTACTGTAACTGTAAAAGGCTATCACTTTAGAATTTCAGCAGATACATTCTTTTATTCATCTCTACATTTCTTCAATTTATTATAGCTCCAATGGAAAATCTGTAACGTGGGCACAAAATGAGAAGAGCACTCGGGGTCAGCATCTTTGGCAGCGTCTTTCTGTTCATGTCAAGAAAAAGGATAGTACAAATCAGACAGCCGTTATTAAGCCCTTCTCTAAGAGCAGCACTGAGAACAGATACATCAGCACGTCCTTCCCAGACTCCAGTTCCAAAATGCTCTATGATGTTTCTGAGGCCGAAGAGCATTATCCGGTTCAGTACCGACCACAAACTCCTTCTCCAATCAGTACTGTAAGTCAGAGGGCTGCTTCGGTAGCTCGGACAGATGATGACATCCCTTCATTTCACTCAGACACTGCCCAACGAAGCGGCTCTTCTCAAGGATCCCTGATGGACCAAATCAGCAATGTTGTGACCAGATTCACGGCCAACATCAGTGAGCTAAACTCCATGATGCTGACGGCAAACACACAAGGAGCCATGGTGCCCACCCCTCTATGTTCTTCCTACCTGATTCCAAGAGAGATCCAACTTCCCACCGCTATGACCACCTTTGCAGAGATCCAGCCAGCCCCTGCTATTGAATTTAACGGTGGGTCACTTTCTGCCAGAAAGTCATCTTCTGACAGCGTCAAAGATAGTGCTCCAGAAGCACCTGTATTAAAGCAAGATGTTGAGGAGTTGGTAGCTTTAACACCTCCTTCTCCTTTTAGAGACTCCATCGACTCAGACAGCACCTCCCCTAGCTCCCCGGTATCAGAGTCTGCTCTCTGTACACCATCCTCTCCCAAATACGACAATATAATTTTGAGAGATTACTCTCAAAGTTCCTCCTCTTTGTGAATGTAAACCAAGCTAATTGGATATCAGCAATGACAATACACGTACATATAGGGGGAGGGTGGCACACATCTCCTTTGCACAGACGTATACACGCCCCTAGGTCGGCGACTGATGCGTGACAAATCCTTCCTTTAAGGTAGCATCAGACTGAGAGTTCCATTGTTCCAATAAGAGCAGTTGTTACATTAGTGGCCTTAACTATGGTCTTTCAAGAAACACTGCTTATATTTGAGGGCTGTCGAGGAGTCAACCGTAGGTGTAGGAGTCTATTTTAAGTGCTTTGATTTAATTTAAAGTGGGCTGTTTTGACAAATATTTGTGAACAGAGTGGATTGTAATCAACTGTAAAATATATTGTCTTGTTTTGCTTTTGATTCTTTTCCCAGAAGTGAAAGTTTTGTCAAGAATAGAAGACCAAACATGAATGTACGTTTTCTAAAACACAAAAAAAAGACAAAAAATGGGACCAAAATGGCAGACAAATTTTTCTATGAAGAAGCTGTAACATAAAAAAGTCTCACTTCAAATAAACTCAAATGAAAGATCTTAATCTCACTATGTATCAGATCTGTGATACGAAACCATAGCTACTTTGTGACTGCAGTAAATGACTGTAAAACACAGGGCACAACATGCAACCTTGTTGATTATTTTTTCCCTCTTTTTTTGGTAATTATTCATTAACTTTCAACCAGTTTTAAAAATAGAAAAAAAATCACGGGACTGGAATTTAATAGCAATTGAATATATTGTCTATTTCACCGTGTTGCCGAAAATACTAAAGTAGCAAAAAAATATTTTTTGGAGTACTGTTTTTGTAAATTCCCTCATAAGGGCAAGTTGTTTTGGTGAATATAATATTTATAGCGAAATTGTTTATTTATGGTGTTACTGCATCCCTATGTGTTGAATGCCTTTTTTTTCTTTTTTTTTCCTTTCTTTTTAAATCTAATATTTTATTTTTATAAAAAAAATGTGTTTTACTGCTTTTTGCATGTAACAAAAACAAAAATTATAATAATAAAATAGAAGCAAGGTACTAATAGTGTAGAATTGAATAAACTGTGTCAATGCCTTTTGAGTGAGTAAATTTAGTGTAAGCAGTTAGCCATGCTTTTTATTGGACATGGCTGTTTGTATATTGTTTCAACCTTTGAACTGTGATGGAATTGGGGTTTTAAAGCAATACATAGTAAAGACTAATTTTTATTTTTTTCCTTAAAAAATGGAAGCTTGTGTTGTTACAAAACACCTAAAACTGATGTTTCTTCTTTAACCACTGCTCCAGGCAGCTATATAAACCCACTCTTTGGTCCAGATATGAGTCAATTCAAAGAACAAATAAAGTGTATGTATATTCAAAACATTTTTTGGAGTAGGGAAAGGTTAAAATATCAGTTTAGGTTGGCATCCCATTGCAAATGCAATGTAATGTGAGGGGTCATTTTGTAGACAGCACACAGGTGTCCCCATTGGAAGATTTGTCCTGGGGACAACTATAACATTTCCCAACAATTGACTGCGATCAACTGGACAAATTGGAAGTGGGAATCTACCCAGCGTGGATACAAACAGCCAGAAAAATCTGACAATTCTAATTTTTTTCCCACTCTAACTAAAACTAGAAAAAATATTTGATTGTACATACCCTTTAATATAATTCCCACTCTAATACTAGAACAAATATTTGATTGTACATACACTTTAATATATAAGGGACATTCCAAAGGTAATGCAAAACTGGGCTTTCTTAACTTACATAGGTCATTCATATTTCACATATGGGTAGAGTCACTCTTCTTCTTGTTCTTTTTCCTTGCAGGTAAATATTGGATTCCAAGCAGAAGCAGCAAGCTCTCATTGAGGTCTTGATGGAGGGAGGGGTGCAGGCTGTCCAACAACCACAGAAGGCTACAGAATGTTTGCCAAGATGACACCATTGACAAGATTATGTCATGTCATTGGTGACTTTTGTCAATGGTGTCATCTCCATAAACGTTCTGTAGCTTTCTGTGGATATTGGTCAGCCTGCGCCTCTCCTTTGTCAAGAACTTAAAGTGTTACTAAACCCACAACAGTAAAGTCACTCTGTATATGCAATAAAGCATGCTTGATATACTCACTGTGGAACCTAAGGGGTTAATCCTTTGCATTGTTTAAAAATGCTGTTTGATCCTGACTTCTCTGATCCTCCCCTTCTTCCAGTTTCCCCCTCATCTCCTCATAAAGACATATCCTGTGGAGCCACTCTGCACATGCTCAGTTTGGTATGTATTGCTAGAGAGGTTTTTTTTTTCTTGGGAGAGTGTATGTGATCAGCACAGGGCCAATCAGCACTGTCCAGACAGAGGGTCAGGGGTTCTGCATCCTCCTAGAGCAGAAAGAAAACTCCTCCTACAAGCTTTAACTAGTGCTCTGCTGAACACTAATAGAAGTAACAAGACTGCTCTAACTGCTGATGAGAAAAGGTATTTAGCAGTTTATATTTACTATAATAATTACATTTCCATGTTCTGTGTACTGTGGGAGACCAGATAGAGTGAATACAGGGTCCTGGGTTTAGTAACACTTTAATGACAGCACATTGCTTCTGCTTGGAATTAATTTACCTGCAATAAAAAAAAGAAGAGTTACCATAGAGTACAGGTGTCAAACACAAGGCCGCGGGTTAAATATGGCCCTCCAGGCCATTTCATGTGGCCCTTGCACCTCTCCTGCAGGTACCCCCTTGTCTCCACCCCCACCTTGTCTCAGCAGTCAGCAGCAGAGAGGAGAATAGAATTCTTTTACCAAATCCTGCACCTCTCAGTGCAGCTGCAGCACCCCCTCATCTCTGCCTCCCCTGGTCTCAGCATTCAGCAGACTCTGGTAACTGACTCCATTCCTCCTCTGGTCCTCCTCCAGACCCGGCACTTTCTGCTTTCCAGCTCTGGACATCTAGTCTTACAGATACAACCGCCCTTTTGAGGGCAACAATAATGCTGAGACGGCCCCCGATGAAATGGAGTTTGACACCCCTGTATAGAGGAAGAGTGACTCTACCAACATGTGAAATTTGAATGACCTATGTAAGTTAATGAAAAAATGTATGCTCACTTTTGCATTACATTTGGTACATCTCTTATATTTTAAACACTTTAAGAGATAATTACTTGAAATATATGTAATATTACTCTGCCGTACTGCTTTAGAAAATCAAAGGTTCTGCACTGTAGACCAGCTAGATTCTATTGTATTACGCAGGGAGAGGTATATAAGCCGTTTTTTTACTAAGGGCTGTGTCAAAGCTCATTGGTGTCCGCTGAGCATCCTAGAGACAGGGAGGTGAAACACATAGGTGGCATAGCTGAATATTGTTCTCCCCCCATCCCCTTCCCCAGTGTGGCAGGAGTTAGTGAATCATAAGCGTGGCTGAATAGAATCACCGATAGTTTGTCAGAGAAAGGAGTTCACATTTATGTATTCTGGCTGTGAATTCACCTGCTTGGCTGGAGTTCTCATTTCATTTTAGTAAGGATGTAGTATAAATTTCCTATAGTTTCAGAGCAAATGACCTAGTCTAATATAAAATAACAAATATATTGAAATATATATTTCCAAAAAGTTATAATTACTTCCTGTCAACTATCCTCAGGTGCCAAATAAAAAATACAAAAGAAAGAAATATAAGATGGTGGTAAGCGGTATTAAAGGAAAACTCCAGTCAGGAAGAAAAAGTCTGTATAATGTCAGGAGGTTTGAAAGTGGTTGGGTCCAAAGGTTAGTGGAACTACAGTGTGTACAACAGCTGGTTTGTTTTAACAGAATGATGTTACATATTTATTTATTTCAGGTACTTATATAGCGCCGTCAATTTACGCAGCGCTTTACATATATATTGTACATTCACATCAGTCCCTAACCCTCAAGGGGCGTACAATCTAAGGTCCCTAACTCACATTCATACATACGCATACTAGGGACAATTTAGACAGGAGCCAATTAATGTACCAGCATGTCTTTGGAGTGTGGGAGGAAACTGGAGTAAACCCATGCAGGCACAGGGAGAACATGCAAACTCCAGGAAGGTGGTGCCATGGTTGGGATTCAAACCAACGACCCTAGTGCTGTGGAAATGCTAACCATTTAGCCACTGTGCTGCCCTAAGCTTCTATTCCTCCTACAGATCCCAAACTTTGCATGGTCAGCTTATCTTGCAGAACCTCACACCCCTCTGTAAAAAAAAAAAAAAAGTACAACTAAATAAAAAAAAAAAAGAAATGCTCACCTTACAACCCAGCTTCCAACATGTTTGCCTAGGCAAGGGTGACATCACTGAAAGTCCTTCCAGGTTCCTGGTAAGTTGAGGATCCCAAAATGTGCAAGAAAACACTTTTTCGCAGTGCGGAAATAACGTTTTGTGATATTTGGGCTCCCAGGAGAAGACCCAGCGATGTCACCCTCACCTACAGAAAATGGCCAGAAGGCGGGATGCAAGGTTTGTAACTTTTACTATTCTTTTAAGTTTTTTTTTAATCCAAATTGGGCTCATTCAGATGAGCGCTGAGACCTATCCTCCATGCAGAGCTGCTTTTGGCCAAGTCCGCATTTACCCCAGAAGTAGACACAGAGACAGCACGGCCATAGTCACGTGCAGGGGTGGACTGACCATTTGGAAACTCGGGCACTGCCCGAGGGCCCAGGGTCAGTAAGGGGCCCCATGAGATGCCCCTGGTACCTTTTTCATAGGCTTTTTTCTGTTTGGGCCCCATGATCCCCTATTGCCCGGGGGCCCCATGAGTTGTCAGTCCGCCCCTGGTCGCGTGTTAAAATTTGACATGCAGGCAGGAGAAGGTGCACAGATTCGGATGCAGAGAAGATCTGTGCAATCAGATCTGTCAAATTTTGACATGCAGTAAAGAACAAAAGAAAAGAGCGTACCAACCTTGCGCATTACCTCAGTAAACAGTTCATATATTTATTAATAAATTATACTCACAAGAGTAGCAGGAAAAAAGGCATATAATATCCATAGCCAACACAGGGTTAAAAGTCATGTGCAAGTTCCATCCGGAAGGGAAATAAACTCTAGGTCAAGTTAACGCGTTTTCGAAGGGTGATCCCTTCTTTCTCAGAGCTGGATTGTTGATAGAAATATTCAATTTGGATTCAGTTCCTATTCATAGGAAGCATTCAGGCACTATGGGGTTTATTTACTAAAGCTGGAGAGTCCAAAATCAGACTCCCTTCTGCATAGAAAACAATCAGCTTCTAACCTCAGCTTGTTCAATGAAGCTTTGGCAATGAAACCTGGAAGCTGATTGGTTTCTATGCAGAAGGGAGTCTGATTTTGCACTCTCCAGCTTTAGTAAATAAACCCCGTGTCCGTGTTTCTGTCAGTTTTGCAGGAGGTGGTGGATGTGTGTCGATTGAAATTTTGACATG